CAACATTTATTTAAAAATATTCTTTTAATTTAGTTTTTATTAAATCTGCAAATATTTCCTCACAAGTATCATTAAATAATTCTTTAACTTATATTCATACAATAAGTATTAGACAATCGATAATTTATTTTATTTGGTTCACGTTATGCATCAAGTATAAATAGTGCAATACGAGAGTAAAATGAACAAAAACACGAATTTGATCTATTCTGTTTTTTTGTTTTCTATTTTATAGTTTTTATTGAACTAAAAGAAAATTAATCTTAAAAAATATATTAATATACAAATGACAGTGATTTTCAAGCTGCTGTACTCGATTTACTTGTTCAATTACTTTTAATTCGTGTTAATTATGGTTAATTAGAAGCTGATGAAATTCGTTGCATTTCTAATCGTTTCGTTTATTTTTAAATAGCATTTTATTTATTGTATTGCTGAATTTCTTGTTATGTTATCACATGATACATTTCATTCAAAACAAGTTATTAAAGTACAAGATTTAATAAAACATTATGATTCATTATTAGCAAGTGGACACGAACCTGAAACACATGGTAGGAAGTAAAAAAACATTTTTGAAACAAAGAAATTATTGTTAAAATTCTTTATTGAGCTTTAGCAGCATTAGAACCAGTTTTATATGATTTTTTTTTCTTGTTCGAGTTATGCGACTAATTAAAATTCCTAAAAAGTTTTATTAAATGAGAGTGAAGAAAAGGTGTCCTTCTATAAAGTCTCAAATATCTTAGAAACTCGAGAGGGTGTGAGTGTGGGTGTGTAGATGTCATTTTTCTCCTTGGTTGAACCCACATCCACACTTCAACGAATTGATGATCTGAAAATAATCATCTTGTTGTTATGTATTTGAGTTTGAAGGAAAACTAGGCGTCTTAATTAATTATTATAAATAAAAGTATCTTTTCATATCATGTGTATGTACTGAAAAAATAATAATAGAATCTATATTGTTATAGGCTTTACGATTGTTCACAGTTATTATTGATAGTGTTCGAAATGAAGATGATAAATGAAAACGTCTTTCACGACAAATTGTCGATTTACTTCTTGCTCATTTACAATCTCAGGTTATTTTTCTTTTAATAGTCTCTGATTTTACGTTACTTTTTTTTGTTCAAATAGAATCAATCACTTTTGGATATTTATTCCACACAATTAACACTATTTGATGTTGCTTTTCGAGCGTTAGTAAATAGAAATGTCTGTTGTTTTTATTTATAAAATTTTTCTGTAGTTTAAATTTTTTTTTACAATGTCAATTGTCAATCTACAAATCGATAGTTAATCAATATAAATATAATACTTCGATGTCTTGTACAAAATTTAACTGAAGATGCTATATTAACACGATAGAATGATGTTTTATTAGCAGTTAATGGAACACGAGATGAAACTTTTAGTGCGTAAGTATTCGAAATGATTTTATTTATAATTTAACAAGTATTATTCTCGTTTTTGTTTTCAGAGCTCTTCTTCTTGTTTTACATGACATAATATTATGAATTTTAACTAATACTCGACAATTACGTGATCAAATTAATATGACATCAGTTTCTTTTGCATCCGATTATCTTTATGTACATATCACCCATTAATTTGAAGATAAAACTTTCTGCAATTCATTAATTACTAATGAGCTAGCGAACAACATTTGACTTTAACAATCCTATGCTTATATAAGATCTATTATTTTATTTTAGTTAAACAATTTCGAACAGTTGTAAATGATTTTCATCAATTATGAATTCATGATGAAAGTCTACATAGTATTGAGACATTTTCATATATAACTATTTTATTTGAATGTTTTAAATTATTATGTTCATCATTTTATATCTCATTATTATTACAATGGATACATATTCTGAATATACTTGATTATACACAAGAAGCATGCTGGTCACCGACATTAACACCATCATCATCAAGAATAAATTTATCTATCAGTGGTCAATTACAATCTTATTGTGATTTAATATATCATCATGAATTATATGTTGAACATTTTACATCAATAACCACACATTATCAATTATTATTATTATTTTTTATTTTATCTTATACATCATACATCAGTTGCAAGTCATTTATTTTTTTTGTGAAGGAATACATTTAGATGAAAGTGGTCTTCTATTAGTTTTATTAGTTGAACAATGCCTTCCATTACCATTAAATAAACAATTATGACCTAAATATATACCATAAATTTTATAAATATTATCAATAACAATATCAATTGATATTATTAAAGAAGATTTTAATAATCTTAATTGTCCTGTGGATATAACAAGAAAAATTTATGAACAAAAGCTTAAAAATATAACTTATAAAAACAGGATTACCATTTATGATATCACCGGTATATTTTAGTTTAATTTATCTAAATAAATAAATATATATGTATAATAAAAATTTTAATCCAATTAAAAGAAATGTTTTTGTTTTTACTTTGACATTGTTTATGTGCTAGTAATAGATGAGACTTTTGAATAATTCAAAACTTTGAAAAATATTTTGAAATAGAAAATATGCAGAATTTCAGATAATACAAATCGTAAAGGAAAGCATTTAAGCTACATTAGTACAATGATCGAATAATTCCTCTCGAATCTTATTGATCAAATTCTCAGTCGTGCTATTTGTACTGTTACAATTAAAGAAAACGACGTCTTTCTAATATTATATTTCGAAATAAATTGCATTCGAGAATTTCGATAAACTTTCTATAAGTTTCAACTCGTGAACTCCGAAAACGTATTGGATTTTTTCCACAGCATTAAATTTTTAGGATGATTCTTATAGTAAATGAAAATTAATTTGAGAAAATAAGAAACAATATAAATCTGTTCTTTTTTTGTTTTCCTAGGATTTTGTATAGTTATATCAAATGAAACAAATTAAAATGACATTGAAACAACACCTAATAAAATTTATGAAAAAAGTCTTTTATCATGCTTCTAATAATCAACCATATCCAATTGCATTCATAGATTCTATATCAATATATTTTGATACAATACAAAATCATGTTGAATTAACATGTCAATTTTCAACAGGTGATATACATGATTTATTACGTTTTATAATATTTATATCAGAAATAATTTATATAAATATATTTCAAAAAAAAAATATCATTTCTTAGTTGTGAAACAGATCAAATAATATCATGTTGTACATTATCGAAAACACTATTATGAATATTTGAATATCTTTATCAACGACATGGTTTAACTATATCAAATATATTATAATCATATTTAAATTTAATTGAACCAGATAAAAGATCATCTTTATTATTTAACAAAAAAATTAAATATATATACATATATCATATATTTATTGACATGATTTATATTGTATAGTTATATTATTATTTTGTTTACCAATATATATATAAAGACAATTTTGAAGTTGGTTGATTATTAAGAATACAATTTCAAGAAATATAGGCTTCATTTTCAGCTTCAATTAATTCACCACAAATCAATCTAATGATGAAAATAAACAAACAACAAATAATTTAAAAAAAAAAGAAGAAACTTTAGAAACAAATGCAACACAATGGTAACAAGATTGAAAAATAAACTAGATTTTATCTGTTTTGTTTTTATCAATATTAGATACAAGTTCAAATAATTTATTTACAAATATTGAACGGTTAGGCACACGTGATTTATTATCCTATGGACAACTTTCATATGATACTATATTAACATCAATCCAAAGTAATAATACATTACCATTATCAGTTAATGTAAGTCTCACATATGTTTTAATAATCGACAAATAGAACTCTAAATTAAAAGAAAGATAAATTCATTGCTAAATTATTAATTTCATCAAACAGAAAATCTAGTATTTCTCTGACTTTGATTTGATATATAATACATGCAAACTATCTTATTTTCTAGAGATAAAAGCTTATATCAATAATTTCAAATATATTCTATCAATCAGAAAATTAGAGTATGAACATTTTCTTTTCTGGCATCTACCTTTAAAAATATATAATTTAGAGTTTATTTGATAGATTATTTTTTCATCGTGGTTTTGATTTAACATTATCATTACAAATTCTAATTGAAATATATGTAATATGAATTAATAGGTTCATTTATATAGCTATCTGATTTATTTACATTATCACAACATTTATCAAATTTATATGATGAATATTTTTGTACATGGTTTGATGAAGATGATTTAATGATATCCTTAATAAGTTATAATTTATGTAAATCTAGTATATTACTTGAACAAAGAACAAAAGAATATAATGAATTATATATAAATTTAATGGAACGTAATTATAAATTAATAACTAAAACTCATGCATATGCATCATGTTTATTTTTACTTGAAATTCATGAAGTTGATTTAAATTCATATGATATTTTATTATCATTAATTAAAGATGATAATTTAACACAAAAAATTATATCAATTAGTCTTGAAAAACTTTTAATAGTTGGTCAATATCCCAAAAATGATATATGGTGTTAATACTTTCACGTATTTATACATTATTACAACGACCAAATAAAAATATAAAATTCATTAAATAATGAACATGTTAATAAAGAACAAACAATAATTGATAGTTCATCAATAATATCATCATCAGATAATATTCTTATTGAACTTGTTGAAGAATTACACGCACGTACTAAACAACCATCAACATTACCATATGAAGCTTTACTTTTATTACGTCCTTTATCATTATTACTTGCACACATTAGTTTTTTTTCGTGCTTTAATTAATGCACGTTATTCAGCTAAAGTTAATGAATGGACTTTATTATCAATGACAAATATTGCACAAAGAAAAATCACTATGTATGGCTATATGGGAGTTAACTTGTCTTATGTTAAGTGCATGTCTATCACAGGGTGTGGGTGAAGACAAGACCTATAATGATACCCACACCCACACCCTCTTATGAGTAAATTCTGCCTATGGTTAAATATTCTTCCTAGTTTTATTGGTAAGTATGCTCTTCGCCGAAAACAAGATCGTCGAAAACTCACATCGCCGACTCGACGTGGAAATTCACCGTAAATTTCCACGTCGAGTCGGCGATGTGAGTTTTCGACAATCTTGTTTTCGGCGAAGAACATTACATTCCACCCTCAATAAAGACTAAAAATATTGATTCATAAAATGGAATCATAACAACAAGAATTAATTTATCTACTTTTTTTCTTTTTACTAGAATCGGTCCCTATTATAACAATCATATCAAAATTTTCTAAACCAATCAGAATAGTTTGTCATTTATTTTGTACTCTAATTTCTGTTTGGCTTATTGATTTATATTTCATATCGTATGTTTTATTATGATTTCAATCATTGATTTAACTAGTAAATAAGTCGATTACATGTATCCATTAAACATATTTTAGCCATTGAAGTTTTAACGAAAACTTTTTTAAACCATGTCGTTAGAGTTTAAGAAAAAGTTGCACAACATCTGGATTAAAACTTGCATTTATAACCAGTACTTTTAATAATATCAAGAAGAATGTGAGTATAGATGTTGATATTCTGTTTAACCACATCTACAATCTTTGAATCGTTTTGGTTCAGTAGATTATATGTAAAAGCAGCTACCATTCTTCATCCTATTGAACTGTTTTCTGAAAATCCATTGAAAATGATAAATTCAAAAAGTCTCGCACTACACAATTGTTTCTTTTTATTCAAATAATAATTCTTTTTTCTTGATTTATTATTCGTACTTTTTATTATTTTGTTATACAATACAAAAAAACTTGAATATTTTAATGTAAAAAGCAATTCATCATTGACAGTATTTAACAATAACTATCAGAAAAGGAATCAAATCAACTTCCACAGGTTCGAGTTCATTCAGTTCGATGCCTGACAAGCGCGGTATTATCCTATAAAATTATTTTAGATTGTAAATTTCTGAGAATTTTTTTAATGAAAAGCATAAGTTAAAACTCAACAGTACAATCATCAAAATGCTTGACTTCAGAAAAAATAAATTATAAATAACGAAAATTCGATCATCACTAAAGAATATTCTGTAAGAACATGATCGCACCATGTTCCTGTTACAATCTAAAGATACTAAAAGGCTTGTAAACATATTCTAGAATACTTCAAACATATTTAGATTTTATTTTAAATTTATTTAACTTTTTTAAAATTTATTTCTGGATTTTTGGTAAATGTTTATAAATGTAAATTGATCGCTTTGCAAAATATTCCATCGAACATCGTTTGATAGTCACATATAACATCACAACTTTACAAAAATGATTATATCTTAGCTAATCATTTTTTTTCATATGCCTCTCTATATTTATTCATTTTTTCAAAATTACTAATATCTGTTTATGGAAGAAGTCGTTGTTTCAATGAATAGTATGATGTTGAATCCTGTTCTATTTTCGTTACTGAGAATAGGAGAGACGATTAGCTTCAAAACTTTTTTCTCACAATCTACTTTCGTGATTTACATTTTGTGTTCTAACTTATTTAACTTTGTTTCAAATATTTTTTTTGTTGTTGACACAGTAAACTTTGCATACATGTGACGAAATAAAATAAAGAAATTTTTTCTCATAAAATTTAATTTAAACAGAAAATATATACAATAAGGTGTGAGTTTTCGGTTCATCTACAAAGCCATACATTCTATTGTCTAGGAATTCGTTGTATTCTTCACTTTTTCTTCTGAAGAAGTGTTTCTTTTTTTTTGATTTTGGGACAATTATCAATTTAGTTTGCGTTTTATTTCAACAAGCAAGTCGTTGCAGATCTTCTAGATTAAGAAAATATTTTACCACAGTTACAGTTTGTTGTCTGTCTCTTCTGAATAGATCAATCAATCTCATTCACATTTTTCCAGCTAATAATTGTCATTGATATCTACTTTTAAGAATCATCAGGATCATAAACTCAATCATTCGATTTTATTGTAATATGAGATTACCTGATTTTCTCAGCAGTGGACAATAGTACGAAATCGTTGGGGAAATTGTTCCCGTTTATGGAGAAATGCTTCACCCCACATAAAATCATGCATAACAAGGAGAAATGGAAAGAAAGAAAAAATACTAATATATATAATCTATTATATCATATTGTCCATATACTTGAACTTAGAGGGAAATGATTTTTCTTTCAGAGGGAAATGGTTCAACAAGGAGAAATGGAAAGAAAGAAAAAAATATATATATAGATATAGATATAATCTATTATATGGAAAAATAAAGAAAACCTAGCTCTATCTCTATTAGATGAAAAAAAATGATTATTACATTAGAACGACATAAAATTAAAGGAAAACTACCTCTATCTGCACTACATGCGAAAAACGACTGTTTTCATTAAGATGGAATGAAAAATAAAGAAAAACTATGTCCATCTCTACTAAGTGAACAAACCATTATTTTCATTAGAATGAAATAAAATTAAAGGAAAACTATCTCTATCTTTACTAGATGAGGAAAATGCTCGTGTTTAATAAGATGGAATGAAAACTAAAGAAAAACTATCTATATCTCCATCAGATGAAAAAAAAAATATTTTTCTGATCAAAATGCACTAGAACTAGCGGAATCTTAACTCAATCTTTACCATACAAAAAAATCATTACTTTTATTAAAATGGAAAATAACGTAACGAAAACTAACTTATTTCACCAGCTATATTAACCATTTCATCTGAAAAATATCCATATCTTCTAGAAAATCCTATATAAGAGAGAAAAAATAAAATAATCCATTTCTCTTTATACATAGAGAAATGGATGAAGCATTTCTCCTACTATTTTAACCATTTCTGTTGCGAAAAAACCATCTCTGCTAGAAAATCCTATATAAGAGAGAAAATAAGATAATCCATTTCTCTTGGAATAAATCCATTTCTCTTTATACATAGAGAAATGGATGAACCATTTCTCCTGGTATTTTAACCATTCCTGCTGGAAAAAATCCATATCTGCTAGAAAATCCTATATAAGAGAGAAAATAAGATAATCCATTTCTCTTTCAATAAATCCATTTCTCTTTATACATAGAGAAATGGATGAAGCATTTC